ATCGATCGCGCGCGAATAGCGTAGCGTTATAATTTATCATAAATAAATATAATAAATATAATAGTTGAATCTTGAATAAAAATAAGAAACATGAGACACACAAGGTAAAAACGAGGATCGAGCAATCCGAGATCGTAATTTTTCTTTAAGTGCGGATCTTCTCGGCAAGCGAAGCTCCAATTAGTGTCGTTAATAAGAAATGATATGCTTGAAATATTATCGCCTCGGTAGAAAAACATCCGCCGCCGCGGTCGCCGCCGACCGTGCGTAAACGCGTTACTTTTGCGTGGCAGCCTCGTTAACCCGCGCGCGCACACGCTCGTGCGCGATAAGCGAGTTGTTATCGCGAGCGTCGACAAGGACGAGGAGCCGCTCCGCTGAATTCCATTTTCCGTCGAAAGAGAGATCCTCCGATGGAAACTCGCTTCGTCATTATTCTCGCGGTTAGCAAGGGCCAATTATCGCCCGCAACAACGACGGCGAGACGCACGCGATCTCCGCGGAATAACCAGTTAACGATTCTCGCGCGAATGACTTTCGTCGGGGAGATGCTCCGGCGCGGGGAGGCCTCGGTCGCGGAGTTTGCGGAGGCCAGTTAAGCCCCGGAATGCCCCGTGAGTATCCCACGGGGTGAGGAGCCGCCCCGTTGCTGCGGGAGCTCGCCTCGCGCGCGCGCCTTATAATATAATCCCGGTACGTGCACGAAATTCCCGTAGAAAATAACGTCTCATTTCATGCCGGGCGCCCCCCAGCAGCTTTCGCGTAATAACATGCAATTTCACCCCGTATCCTCCCGTCCGATCAAGCCCTTCTGTCTCTCACTCTCTCGCTCTCTCTTTCGATCGCGAAAGGCGAAGTGCACTCGGGCGAAAAATACACGGCCTAAGAGACCGCGAGTGCAAATTCATTCCGCGAAATTGAATTCCCGTTCCGCGAGGAGTTCGACGTTCTAGTCAAAGATCGACCACGGCGGTGAATCGCCGGCTGTTTACTACCTTTTTCTCCTGGAGCAAGATACGATTTTCTTTTTTCTCGCTTATCATCTACAGTATTACTGCCTGGGGAGGGAATTTTCTTTTAAACACCGGCCGGGAATTAATCGCGGCGCTGGTAGAATCGGTTCTAAAATCTACCCTAAAGTCGCGAAGCGCGGCGGCAACGGAGGCGGACGATATGCCTCGTCCGGGTTGCGGAGCTACCGCAGAGAGCGGAGTCATACTATGTCTGCGTCGGAGGTGAGAGGAGACTACGGAGGGAACGAAACGCGGCGACGAGGAGGAAGATTGATCGCGGTGAAGCTGCATCTGCTACGATGAACTAGACAGAGAGCGAGAGAGCGAGAAAACGAGCGAGCGAGCAAGCGAGAGAAAGAGAGAGAGAGAGAGAGAGAGAGGGGGGGAGAAGAGAGAGACCGAGGGGGAAGAGAGGAAGAAAGAGATAGCGATAGAGAAACGACGGGAGAGAGCGACGGAGAGGCCCTTCGGGAGAGGCTCCGCCTTCAGCTGGCGTGTGCATTTGCGCAAGATGGCGCCGGTCGGTCGGTGTGTGCCGCGGTTGCACACATTTTGCACCGGAGCAACGCGCGCGAACGACGCCGTCGACCGGCCGCTGCGCTCTACTCCGCTCCGGCCCACACAACACCGGATCCTCTTCTCCTTCGCCGTCGTCATCGTCATCATCATCGTCGACGACGACGACGACGACGAGAATACGGGGATCGCGCACGGCGGAGAAGGGAGAGGAGCATGGCGAGGAAGACCCAACTTACAAAAGAGATAAAGAGCAAGGGAGCGAGAGAGAGAGAGAGAGAGAGAGAGAGAGAGAAAGAGAGAGAGACAAGAGAGCCTCCCGCGTGGCCCCGCAATTACGTATGCACCTCTCTCAGACCCCGCGGGCTTCGCGGTTGGCTGCGCTTCCTTCCTGTCTGTGCCGCAACCACTGTGTATTATGCATCCCGCTCTCCGTGCGCGTCCGCCTATCTTGTTTATTTATTTTTTTCCTTTTTTAGCATCACTTCTCGCTGTCCCATCTCTTTCTTCCACCCCCCCCCTCTCTCTTACTCTCGCTGAACGAGGCTCCGTCGGGAATTGCAGGAAAATGATCCGGCTTCGGCGTCAAACGTGCGTAAAAGCGTCTCACAAATATAGAGTGCGACTTAGTTTTGTTAGCGCTCCTAATTAAAGGATTCCGACTACGCAAACTTCTACCGGCATTCTGTGCACTGTATAGTTTTACTCGCGGACGAGTAACGTGGGTAATCTTATTTTCAAATAGGCAGACTCTCAGAGAGTCTAAAGTCTCTTCATATGCATGTAAGTTCAATCGCTACTTTCAGATTAAATTGCCATAACATCGTGGCAATTAACTCTTTCACGTTCGATTCATTTTTGTTTATTATTCCTTTCTTAACACACTAACATCCCAAGAAAACAAGAGGGACAAAAAATGTAAGTGGGACTTACGTGTCCCAGTGGTTAGGGTTAAAGACAAAGAGTTAAAGACCACGGATACTTCGGGCGTTCATTAGCTGTCGACACTTTTCCATCCTACTCATCAGCGGCTGTCAAAACTCGGGACGCGCTCGAACGAGGATCGGGATTTTCCGTGTCTCGAGCGATGGAAATCAAAGGCAGCCGGCCGTCCGAGTCAAACGGCAGATTTCTGTCGGCGGAAAGAGCAATCGCCGACGCACGGGACGCTCCGGCGAGAGCGCGGCCAGAAGTCGCAAGAAATTCCGCGCTTTTTCCGCATCGTCTCGACGTACAATCGGACAGCAGATTTGATTCTGATTAGGGGAGCCGTTTTTTGGAGGCCACGAGCTAACAGAGGGCCGAGTATGATCCAAGCACGTCGGCACGAATCAGGGATATCGTCTTCCAGGGCCTCAAGATCTGGCCCGGCTGTATCGTGTTTCTTCCACGGTCCCTCGTGCACTTTTTGGCCTTTTGCCTTTCCTCTCGTCCGTGCGTCCGTCATTTGTCCTCCGTCCTCTCCCTCTTTTGACGTTCCCTCCTTTTCCTTCCCTCCTCTTGTTTTGAATTTTCCTCAGCGCGTCGTGGAGACTCGAACGAAACGCTCGCGCGTCTCGTCCTCCTTCATCTTCTTTCCCTTTTCGTTTCTCCCTCGTCTTCTTCTCTTCTCGTCCTTACGTCCTCTATCTTACGCCTACATTTCTTTACCTACGCTATGCTTTTTCATGCTTGGCCAACGGCGAGGAACCGAAAGAGCTATCGAGATTACGTACATCTAGAGTGTACACACCATCGGCCTAGCGCGCCTCACCTCGAAACGATTCTCTTTTTCTCTTTGCGTGACGCCGTGAAATCTTTTCTCGCGTGGAATTTCTTAAAAGCACAGAGTTAAAAACGGGAAAGAGCGATTTGTTTGTTATTGACTAGATGTACACGTGATAGAAAATTTCGCTTCGCGCATTAGCAGCGCGCAATCAAAGTGAAACCGGCGATGTAGTTTGGAACATGGCTTATGTACCGAAGAACAGAAACTTGATTGAAACGGAGTTCAAGTCATGTGCGGCGGGAGACGCTTATCAGCTTTCGTTTTACCCTCAACAGTTTGTGTCACTACGGTTCATTGAACAGTTGTTAGATAAAATGAATATCAAATAAAATTGCGGTAAGAAAAATATGCTTCTCTCCTTTATTTCTGAAGTTGCTAATCTAATCTCACTCGAGATCGCGCTCGCGACTTCCTCTCACCGCAAGACTTCATCTATTCCCTTTGCCACGTTTAAATATATTTTTTATCCTCTCCCCCGTACGCAACTGTCAAGTGTTGTTCCTTACGTTATCCCCCAGGATGACTTCCTTTTTACGGACAACTAATCACACATTTCCTGCGTTTACGCTCCTGCTGCTTTATTTACGCCGTCGCCGGTACGGCGCTAATCGTACTTGTTTCTCGCCGCGCGTTTCTGTTCCTCGCTAGAGAAGTCTCGTCATTCACGCTAGAGAGGTGGCAAAAGGGCTGTGCTCGAAATGGAAAGTCATTTACCTGGCGAGAATCGAGAGGACTACAGGCGAAAAACGGAGTCAAGTGTACGGGACGCGTAAAAAGACGGCACGTGGGTACACAACACGCACTCGCGTGCTCGAAAGTGCGCGCTCAAGAGCATCTCGAGGGGGTTCGCCTTGTCGTATTCGGGGCTCGAGATGGATTAGCGCTGCGCTAAGAAACTGTCCCGATGGCATGTTACGGCTGTCACTCACCCGGGGCCTCCCAGTGGTACAATGTCACGCGCCTATCAGCCGCGGTAGAAATTTAATTATCGAGGAAGGTATCTAGCCGGGGAGGGGGAGGAGCGAAATGGCGATGCATCAGGGGAGACATTCGATGGCGCTGATAGCCTCGGAGACGCCTCGTTAATTAAATATAGAAATTCTAATTAATGAGTAGTGCAGAGAGAGAGAGAGAGGTGACTGTTCGACGGTCGTTGACCCAACAGCAACGTGAAACACGCGAGAAGCAGTAGCGGGGTGTAGCGCGTGCTTTTATCATATAGATTCGCCACAAGGTTCGCCTCGACTCCTTTATATCTGGCGCATTTGATACCGTATCGTTTCTTTCGGAAACAAGTACTTGGCGTTTGAAGGCGGAGAAGCGCGAGTTTTCGCGACAAACAGTATTGCTACAGAGAGCTTCTGCCGTGCACGCATCGGCATCACCGAGGCGGATTTCAATCGATAACGCTGCAAAGTGGTTCGAAGATTATACGTATTATCTTCTTAATAGCGGCACAGTATCCGCCGCTAAAAAAAAAGGTAAGACCCTTTCTCGAGGGTCCTCGCTTCTTTTAATTTCGACCTCGCTAAGTCTTCAAAGGAAATGTCGGCGAGCAGTCGGTCGTTGAACCGCGACGGTGGCTTCTCAGCGAGGAAAAACGGAGAGAAAAACGAGCAGATCCGAATAAGCGAGAGAGAGAGAGAGATAGGAAGAAAGTGTAAGCGATTAAAGAAAGGAGAGAGAACGGTATGTGTACTTACTGTGGGCGTAGTGTGCGGCAGCTGCGGGGTGATGCGCCGTCGGTCCGGCATGAGGGTAGTAACCCCTGTAATCGTTGCCGACCACTCCAGCCACTCCGGCACCCCCCGAAGGCGGCTCCAGCGACCTGGGCGTCTCGTACCACGTCCTAGCGCTCGACTCGCTGCTCATGTCCATCGTGTCCGACGAGATTTCGGTGCGTTGCGATCGCTTGCCGAAGTACGACGAGCAGGTGAAGTAACAGCGGGAAGAGGAGACGCGAGAAGGGGAGGAGAGAGAGAGGGATGGAAAGCGGAATGCAGAGAGAGAGAACGGGCGGGCGGCAGGTAGGGGAGGAAGATTAGGAGTACTGCCAAAAGCGCCTCTCTTCCTTTTCCGTCGTCCTCGCGACGCCCAGTGGGATCATAGGTAATCTTGGTCTGATTTGCTGAGCGAAAGGAACCTCTTCCTGGCCTCCGTCCTGCGAAACACATCGAACGGCACGGATTAGTTCGGTCGTTCCTCGCTCGGTCGTTGATCTCGACTGATTATCCTTTGTTTCTTGCTAATTCTTTTATCACGCGGTGGAAAAGAATGTCTTGGATAATCAGCCAACTACAAAAGGTATATTTAAGGACGTCTATATTTAGGAACACGCGCGAGATTATTTTAGGCACCCCTTACGAGTAAATTATAATGATCAGAAGCGCGCGGCAATTTAGAATATACGGCTACCGTATGCGCTGAGAATTATCCGTAAGAAGCACGAGGTGTATGCAAACGTAGAATCAAGTTAATTAGAGTGCTTAGTCGAACGCGATCCACGCGATCCGCACAGTGGGAAAATTCCAACTTTATTAGCAATAAATAATTCCGTGATATATACGGCCTCGTTAAACGGCTAGACACGTGCGCTCGCGCGGCGCGCATTTATTAATTGTATCATTCGCAGAAGCGGGCGATACGCGCCACCAGGCTGACTTAATAAGACGCCGTCAGATCCGAAAATTGTTATTATATTAATTAATCGATCAAATAGCCCGCGATTTCACCGCCATCAGGACCAACGTTCGCCGGTGCCCCGACACGTCATTTCGATGAAGCCGTCGCTCGGCGACTTTCTCGGATTCGGAGGGCGATCGTGTGTAACCGCGACACACGAACGTGGGGTACGGGGTAACGAACAACTTTGTAACGCGCCCGACGACAAGCTACGCCCGTCCGCACACCGCACTGGTTCACGTGCGTCCTTACCGGCTTTCCGATATCGCCCTTGTCGCGTAAAAGGAAGAACCGGCGTGTCATGGACAGGGCGGACCACGCACGCGGTAAATTAATACCGAAACACGAGACGCTTCAATGATTCTTTCATCGCGCACAAGCTGCATAATGCGCCGCCTGTTTTGAGAGACGGTATTTCCCTTTCTCTCTTCCTCTCCCCGGCCCCCCCCCCCGGTCTTTCTTTCTCTATCGCGAACCGGACGCGAAAACGGAAAAACACGCCAAGCGATTCGCGAGCGATCGAGAGACGAGGCGCCATTCTTGCTTCTAGCCGAGCTCGATAGCTGAAGGCAACTGGCGATGGAGAAGAGACCCGTGTCCGACGTTTTTGTTCACTGTAAATTCACTTTTGCGCGACGCTCGCGATACCCAAACATGGTCAGCTGAACGGGTCAAGAGCCCTTCACAACGTTGAGCAACCAAATTTTCGAGTAACATTTTACTACGTTGATTCAAGCAGAATGCGAATATTTTTTAAATTAATATATAAGTCAAACTGTTATACAGATTTCCGATTATTTGTCTGATTTTCAGTCTTCAGATTTATTTACGTGCGTTATGCTAGAGCCTCTCCAATCACAGCGCTGGATTGTTGCTCACGCAAGAAAGGAGTTTTAATGGAAATTCGCCCCCTCGGTACCGCAGGTCCGATAAAAGCAGAGGAAATGCACGAAAAACCAACTTACCCCGATCGTTGAATTAGCGTAACGCGTCGGATTCCGATAATCGATCAGCGTGATCTACGGTAATTAGGTCCTGATCAGCGCTTTAGTGCGAACATACTGAGTATCAACGATTGACGATCAAATACTCGAAATGATTTATCAATCAGCTCATGGGCTATCAAGGTCATCGATGACGTAACCCGGGACAGGTCGGCTTAATCGCCCAATCCAGATAGAGGAGCGCGGCAGGAAAAGGGACGGCGAGAAGAGAGCGGCGGCCCGCGAGGAGAGGCGGGAACGGAGCGACGGGGTTCTTATCGACACACGAGTTTTCGGAAATATCAGATAGCTATCTCCGGCGGATAGGTGGAGTTCCGCCAGCGAATCTCTATTGTCGCGAGAAACTAATAACGCCGCGCGCGCGTTCGCGGCTCCGGCGGGAAAAAATATCCCTCTCGAGAAACCGGTTACGCCGGTCAACAGGTTTCATTTTCAGTCGGAGCCGCAAAATAGTGAATCTGTCGACGCGCAAAAAGAACGACGCCGGTGGTGGTTTTGTTTCGGATAAATTCGGACGTTGCATTACCCTGAAGAATTATTTCACGCCGGCAACCGATTAATCAATGTAGAAAATTGCTCGACGTCGCTTGGCTGGCAAATTCTTGAAGAAATTCATCGCGTTACATTTTCTATTCCTCCTTTTTTTGGCTTCGCGCTAAAAATCACTCTTACCCCGGAGCAAATAAAGCACTCGAAAACAATGCGCGATAAGATACACACGAAAAAGCGTACAAACGTCGATAAGATTGATACCGCGCGGAATGTGACACGCATATCCGATTAATTTTGATTGCCGAGCTATCGAGATTCTTCGTTATTGTTAATGTATTACGCGACATACAATGGGCAAATTCTGCAAATATATTTCGTGCATTACGGATAATATTATCAACCACGCTACTAATGATTACAACGTTTAACGCGGACACTAACGCGACCCTGTATTCCTAATTAGTCCAGGCACTTCTTACGAGTATATATATTCGATATTCACTTAATATCAATCACCAGTAATATACTAATCGAGCGGCTCATTAATTAACCGCGCCGAAAAGTATTGACGTACCAAATTGTCGTCCAATTTTTATCGCGTGAAACGTCGGGAAGATAATCGCGGGGACTCGATCGATCATAGATATAACTAAATTTGAACAGATCAATCAAACCGTATCGCACGACACGATCGCAAGACGAACGGGCGATTACTTTTCAGAGATATCTCACGATCGGAATAATATTTTTTTGGCAATATATAAATCACGCGCACCGCGCACTTTATTTTTATCGCCGTCACATAGCGCTCGTTTAAATCATTAGCGTGCTCGAACATTTACCACGGGGAACATACGGGTGTTCTCGCAGTTTCAAATAATCACCAATGCGCGAAACTCGTTCTTAAAGAAAAGAAAATCCTACTGAAGAAGACACTCGTTTCTTCTTACCGATTTCTTAAACCCCGCCACCCTTTTTTTTCCTCCTCGGCTTTCCAAATAGATACGATTCTAACAGATACGACCCGATAATTTGTCTTTCCTAATCGATGAAAATTAGGACACGGAGGAAATTGTCTAATCTAATAAGACACGCTCGGCTCTAGATAATCGAAATCGGACTCTTGACCGATATGCACCTACGATCGCTCGCACGGATTGTGAGCCATGGGTATTTTCATCGATTCGACAACCGCGATAACGATTGAAAAGCCCGGGTTAGATAACCAACACGAAAATATCGTAGACTTTAACCGCGCGCGAGAGATTACGACACTCGGCGTACGTGCGAACGAAGGACGGGTTAAAAAAAAAGTATCCGGATTCTTCACGTGAACTACAACGACGAGGCGATAAGCGGTTACTTCCTAGATCGGCGTCGTTACGTGTGTGTATATATCTCGAATATTACATACGGCGACCGTGACGAGAACAGGTTCGAGCAAATTGGAGCACGTCCGTTGAACCGCCGAAGAAATAATTACAGCTGATAAGCGTGTACTATTCATATACGTTTGCTCATTGCGATAAAGATGATCTCATCGATCGTAATAGTACATCGACATAACGAGTTTTCACCGGTGCGAATGGACTTTCCTCGCGATATCACGATTTATTGTACGCGTCTCAATTGTAGAACGCTAATAATCAAGCGCGCGAAAAATTAAACGTCCCACCGGTGCATAAATAAAAAAAAAGGCCGTGCGTTTTTCCATCCGGCCGTATCTGATCACGCCGTTAAATCGCGCCCGATATTTTGCGCGTAACTAACGGAAACGGGGAGAGGCCGGGCGTTTTGCTTTTTTAGGAATTCGCCCGTGATCGTAGCGTCGGCGATTCGTTTGCGCCTCCGACTTAAGCTCGATTGTACTTTCATTAGGCCGCCTGCGATCTAGCGGATCTTATCTACTCCGAGTTACATCACTGTGTCCACTCTCGACGAAACTCCATCGACGACAACTCCTCGATCACGTATCACGTCGCTAATCTTATCGAAATTCGTTAATCTCCTCAAAAGCGTCCGCGGCAGCGTCAACGTCGTGACAGCGACGGCCGGTACTCGAAAATGTACACAGCCAAACCGCAGCGTCGAAATTAACGGAGGTCTCGACGAGTGGAACAGAATCGGAACCGACGTTGGTGACGACACTATTTCACTTATAGCGTAATACGAATATTGAGTAGAAGAATAGAATCCGACGATTTTGTCAGCACATTTCAACGTCTTCGGAATATAGCGATTTTATCTGGCCCTGTCGGCTTCAAGAACAAGAAATAACCGCGTTTTGCATTTCAATACGTCGCATGTCATTCCCTTTACTTCCAAGATGCAGAGTCCAGCTTCAAATTGTCGAACTACTTCAGCGTAAATAAGTATGACTCAACTACCGCTCGAAAATTTCACGAAATTACGCTACATACGCCGAAGCCTTGCCGCATCAGGGACGCAAGGCGTCTCATGATCTTTTTGAACGCTTCAAGATTTCACTCGCGGCTTCGAACACGTCCGATATACGCATGATAACCCGATGGGAGTCCCAAAATGGATTCTGTTTCCCTCGCGCGCCGTCGAAACGCGTCGGGAGGTGAAGAATGGAATCACCGGTCCGTGACACGCACTGTCACGGCCGTGGAAATAAGAGGAGAGACGTCATCGACGCGTCGCTTTGGCAGGCGCAAATCGCGCGGCCCGCGGCCGGTCTTGTCCGTCGCGCTCGGCCGACGGATCGTGAACGAAATAATCGAGAACGCGGGAGACTCCGACTCGCCGAGAGGATAGTAACACGATACTCCCCTTGGTCCGAGAAATCGGGAAAAAAAACGTGAATTTCGAAGCTCGGAAGGACATTGGCACTCGTTTACGGGATAACCGGGGATGATGCCTAAAAGTAGGATGTTTTGGGCGAAAGGGTCCGCAAGGTGTGTGCAAAAGTCGAGGATAATTTCGTGATAATTCGATCAGATTTAGGAAGAACGAATCCCGA